GACCATTGACCTCGCATCCCTACAAAGCCGGGACGGAGCACGCCGGGTTCTCACCGGACCAGGCTCTCACATCACCAAGCGCGAAGCGCCCTGAGGTATTTGGCGAGTCGCCTCAAGGGTGCGCTGCATCCTGCTAAGGGTTTTCGGCATCTTGTGCTTACTTCCTTGCGTACGGATGACAGCTGCGTATGACTTAATTTATTTTCTGGTGCTTTCACTTCCAGAGACAGTTGTAAGCACTGTGTAACTGCCTCGAGGGTGCTTGACCATTTTAACACAACGTGGTGCGATCATCCCCCTTGCGCGGAGTGAGGGTTCTCCACCCCGCACAACATGATCTACTCGACCACCATTATGGTTACCGCCAAAAAAAAAAACGGAGGTAAAAAAAAAAAACGGTAACCTGGTTGCCGAGTTCACGAAGTGAATTGGCTTGTTTTACAACGTCGTTGCCAAGCGACGAAAACCCAATCCCGGTGGGAAACACCGAGGGGGGGGCTTGTTTTACAACATCCTTGCCAAGCGACGAAAACCTAACCCCGATGGCGAACACCGGGGGGGGGCGGCTTGTTTTACAACGTCGTTGCCAAGCGACGAAAACCCAACCCCGATGGCAAACACCGGGGGGGGCGGGAGGGTGCGGGGGGGATTAGTCCATCAGGGGGTTCAATCCGGCATAACCTTTCGCGCCACTCGGTCCGCCTTTTCTCGTTTGCTTCTTCTAGAACATCAACTATATCGTCACTTACCCTCTGGGATACAAACAACGAAACCACTTGGGTGAATGACCTCAACTGCGCTCATGTAGGACTTAAGAGCATGCATGCCCTGCAAGTGCTGTTTTGGCGTGTTTGCTGCAAATGGTGGATTGCGTTACTCGTGTCTCCTACTGCTGTAGCGGATAGGCGTCGATCGTAAAGCAGTTCGATTCGGTTCTATTTTGGAACCAAGCTCAGAGCGGATCCTCCCGGCCAGTGTTTGTGCAGGAAACATTTCAATATTAGTTCGCTGAGCTCTGACTGCACCGCCTTGGGAGGTGTTGCTCCCCCAAACTACCATTGCGCTCCCGGGGGGGACCAGGAGTGAATAATTAACACCAATAAGTTTATAGTGCAGGGCACGCGGTCCGACATGATCACGCTAGCACGGCATGATATTTTTTTCCCTTGTTTTCTCGATCGATGCGAACGGGTTTTGCGAGTTGGTCAATATGCCCGTCTTCTGTGGTCTGCCTGACAGAACAACAAGACGATCACACACCAACATCGGCTGCCAGTAATACAACTGATAGTTTTCAAGAATCGTGTAATGTCTGCGATATGCATAATCCATGCACTACTTTACACGCGTGGCGGCGGTCGAGACGTTCCACATCGCAAGGCAGGGCAAGGCCATCTTGTCTCAGATGTAGTCCATGACAACGAATGCTTGCTTTCCCCGTCTGTCTCGCATGGGTTGGACACGAGCAGGTGCAGACGCAAGAGCTGGCAACTGCGTTGGTACAGGCCCTTCTTAACGACCAGGAGGTGGTGAGAGCCGGCGCTCTCTTTCTGAGGGAGGCATCTGCAAACTCGGAGACTCAGGTGGGGAATTTCTCGGAAGTTTCTCACGGTTTTCCTGGGGTGTCAGATGAAAGGCGTGCCGACCACTCTGGTCAGCCCCATAGTTCATGGTCGTTGTGTTTTATCTCATTTCATCGATGTTGGTGCTGTTGTTTTCTGGTTTGCTGTCACTTCGCACGAACATCCGGGACTAATATTTCCCGCAATTCCGTACCGGTGTCACCTACCCCAGATGAGGCCCATGGTCACAGGCGATCACGAGGATCACGAACTTCATGAAGGTTGCTTTTTTGTTCCAGTCCGCCTTGGGTGACCTCCGCACACCGCTGTTTTGTCGGCGTTTTTGTATCGTCGTAGCGCGGTCATTGCTGCATTATGGCTTTTTGCTGTACAGTCCCCCCATGCCTTGTTTCAAAGCTACCTTTTTTGTTGTAGGACTGCGTCTGGAGCTTCTTCGTACCGACTACTACTGTACTGTCCAACCGGCTTCCTAAACACGCTCGTCGTGGCTCTCATAGCTCTCCAAGACCCTAACAACCCTATTCCTTTTGGACCTAGGATATCTATTAAAGCGTTTGAGCGGATACAAAGCTGGCGCCACCGGCCACGCGTGGAATCACCTGTTTTTCTTGCCTCGACTGCTGTTCTCTTGCTCTTGTCTTGTTTCGTTTTTTTCCAAGGCGGCCTTGGTTAGCCTCGCCCTGTACGTCCTGCAGCACCCCGATACCCGAGCGGAAACCAAAGTGCTGGCGAAGAAGCTTGTCAAGGCTATCCTAGATGATCCGGACACAGTGTTACAGGTAGGGATTGTTGTGGCTGTGTGTTGGTGATGGTGGTCGTTGTAGTAGTGGTGGTGTTGACGACGTCATGTATCTTTCCTTCTCGCTGCTGGCTTGCAAGCTTGGAGTGTGAAACGGCCTCAGAAGACGCAGCATGCCGTGGGTGACAACTTGCGTTTTCCTGGAACGGTACAATGCACAGCTGACTGATACTACGCACCGTTCCCACCGACGCTTCTTGAGAGTTCAGCAGTTGCGGCTGGATGACTTTCGTGTGCCGCGGCATGCCTTTGTCCATGGTGTCTGACTACGATTTTGCCGTTGCGTGCTTGTGTGTCTCTCTCAGGTGACGGATATGGCCCTGAAGGTTATCAGAAATCCGCAGTTCCGACAAGGCGCATCGGAGCTCGTCGTAGCTCTCGGACAAAGCGAAGAGGTGTGTATGGTATGACAAGACGAGGCTTCCGAAAATTGGTTGAAGAAACAACAACGATGCCCCTTCCACGTTTCGGCTAGAAATTCACTCACGCCGCCTCTGAGTCGTGTGTACCTTGACTGTCTGCATCCTCTGGATGGCCATGACTCCGACCCTCGTTCGCGAGCACTTTCTCATGAGAAACATGATACGTTGTTTCATCATCGTTTCCAAGGGTGCTTATTGGACCCCATCCCCGCACACCAACCGTAGCTCTACCCTTTACAACCCCTTCGTCTCAGGTGTATGGTGCCGTGGTCGATCTTGCCTCGAGGGTCATACAGGACCCCCAGGTGCAGGCTACCCTCAGCACGGTCCTGTCTGCTTCCTCCCGTGAGGTAGGTCGAATTAGATCCACTTTCGTTCCTGCATGAGAGTGGAAGCAAGAACTTGCGGTTTTCGTGGACGAGTGTTGAGAGTGAAAAGCCTGACGGCAGTGCACTTGGTGATGTAAACACTCTGTTCATGCACGAAAACAGAAACACGGCATGGCGTTTTTAGGAGACAAGGTGAGGTTAGGACTGAAAAGCCTGCCGACCGTATAGGCGTCGTGTCGTGTGTGGAATGTCATGTTTTTTGGCAGGGGAAGGTTGTGTGTGGCTTGGCTTGCCAGCCTGGTGTCCGGCATCGTGTCTAAGTGAGCGCTCGTCTACGGAAGCTCTCGAGCTCTTGAGGACCCTTCTCCCTTCTATCGCCTGTTGTCACCGTTGATGAACACTTCTGGGAACGTGTTGCGCATTCCTCTTCGCTTGTTGGGTTGCGTGGCCAGTCGTTTGCGTGAGGTGTGCCACCTGTTGTGTCAGTCTGCAGTCGTTTGGTGCCGGTGCAGTCCGTAATCACAGTGAAACGAACCCTCAAACAAACTACCCCTTATCCTAAAATGAAGACATTCGGGACCGGCAATAGTAGAGTCGTCATCGTGGCGGATACAATGATTGGATGCGGTGAATCAACAGCGACTTCGTTGTCGTGCCAACCCGGAAATGGCGTGAGAGCATTGTTGTAAGCCGCACCCGAGCCCCTGTCCGACGACAACCGGCCGTCGAGAAGCATGCAACGGGATTCATTCATGTGGACCGTGGTCCCAAACGGCAGGGAACGGACTCACCGAGCTACAGTACCATCTCGATCCCTCTCCTCGGCTTGACACACGTCGATGTGGCTGACGTACCTCACAGGTTCTGCAAGACCAGGTCGTCTTCGACCACTCGAAGGTCTTCGTGGCTCAGGTGCGGCAGGGCAGGACCATCTCGGTTTCACTCGCTATTTCGCGCGTTAAATAAATATTTACAGCCACACTGATGTACCGAGGTATCCCAGGAGGGACGTTTTGCGATTGCAGTTTTGGGTCTGATGCTTGTTGTGGTCCTCATACAAACGCACGGTATAGCTCTCCCCAGCACCGTAGGTAGCGTGCTCAAAGGCAAACCTTTCAACTATGACAAACCTGCCCATATACTATCATTCCCTTTGCACGTTGGTTTTTTTATACTTCTTTCCCACGACCCTATTCAATCCCGAGTATGGTGACTTATTTTTGTGTCAGCACCGATGCTTCGAAGCGTGCAACTGTTGTGAAAGCTGGACAGTTCGTCGGGCGGTTGAAGGTCCCAAGACGTGGTATTTGCTTTGCTCAACATGAGCACTGTACCACCTTTCACACGTGCCAATACTTGCGGGCTTTCTGTCTCCCTCTCTCTCCCTCTCTCTCTCTGCCCCCCCCCCAATCTCTCTCTCCGGACGCTGTCTCTCTCCCGACTCCGTGTTTTCTTCCGAGAAGGTCATGGGGGACGATGCGGTTCAGCGTAGTGGCGGCGATGCGCTATGGAGCAGCGTGCAGTACGCACTCCAGACCAGGCTCTTCAAGGCTACCGGTATCTGTCTCCTAGCCGCAGGGTCTGCGGTCCTGCTTTCGGGAAGGGGGGGCGGCGGGCGCGACGGGGGTTGGGGGTGGCGCGATAGTGGTTGGGGAGCGGGGGGGGGCAGCGTCGACGGGGGCGGCAAATAACGACGGCAGTACCAAGCGAGTCAGCGGCACCAAGAGCACGTCGAGTAGTTGTGATTTCTGGTAGACCGTGCAGTCCACACCGACAGGAGGTTTGCCGCGTTGTGGCCTCACTTCTTTTTCGCGGCACCGTCGTTTGAACCCCTTGCAGGCCTGACACGGGTCACATTTCAAGAAGGAATCCCCAATGAAATCGAAGCTTTATTGAATTATGGAGTCCTTCGTTAGCTTCGGCTAGTCTTTGCGTAGAAGGCTTCGTTTCACAGGGGTATATCCCCCGGCGTCGGAGATGTGGCGTCCGAGAACCTAGTATTCCACCCATCAGCGGCGCCGGGAAGCAGGTAGAAACCCTTCCAGGGATCCGTGCCAGTTCAAGGAAATGGCTGCATTCCATCGTCGGATGAGCGGTTTGCGTAGGATTCAACTCGCAAGGAACACGCCTATTTGCAAGGCTCAGCGCCTTGGCGTGTCTGAACGATTTTCCACCAGGCGATCGCCATCGTCGTGGCGCTGGTAAAACTCAGTCTCTTTCGCCATTTCCAGTTTTGCTTCTAAAATGTCAATTTTGCTACTTCAGGTTTCTAGTTAGTTCTGAAGCTGTAAGCTTGAGTCTCCCAACCTCAATTCATTTTGGTCGAAGACAGACCGTCTTGTTCCGATTCCCGTGCCCTTGCCCAACGGTGTGACAACAGCCGATCTTGACCTATGACCTATGGCGCATGCCTCGGTAGGGCATCCCAAATCGTGGCCAGTTGCCAGGTTTGATCGACTTCCGCGTGCGCGCCCACGATGAACTGCCCATGGGCTGACTGCCAAAACCGCCGAAGGTGTGGGGGGGCGGGGGAGGGAGTGCCCGTATCCAGGGGGTGCCCGTTTGCGAAATTTATTCGTATCCAGAGGGTGCCACAGGACCCCACACAACCAAGGTTGTGTCAAATTTTGTATCGTCCAGCCGGGTACGTTGTCCTCGTCATGTCGTACGTGCAGTGCCCCCCCCTTGCCAACACTTACACACACACACACCCATGCTGCCCCCTCACTTGGTCCCAGCTTCTTACGGCAGATATACGTGTTTCGTGTTTTCAACCGCACTGACTGACGTATTTTCATTGATCAGCCGGTTAGCGCGGTCGACGCAAATAATATAGATCGGTGCATGTGAGAAGAAGACGCCTGTACCCGATAGTCGACTCATTCCCCACCATCCACGCCAATCATCCCCAGTCGACACAGAAGACCCTCTAGCCGAGACAGCAGTATTATCAAAATATACACTTTCCCGGGTGTCCTTCCCTTGGGCAAGATATCCTACCAAGAAATCACAACGTGTTTGTTTTTATTGCGTTTCACCGTTGAGCCAAAAACTGAAGGGACTGTTATTTGTTGCAGTTCCCTATCCCAAATGATGACAGATGTACAGTAGACGTTCAAGCCCCCGCCGTCCCCACTCTCGTGAGCCTTCACAGCGCCTCGACGGTACGTGACCGTACTACAGGATATAATCGGCAACCTTGTACCCATACCGCTACGACCGCTGCCTCCTACTGTATCATGCCGAGGAAACCGCCGTCATTGACGTCTCAGTCGCACGCCAATGACAAGGATATGTCACCTTTCCGACCAACAACCTGTAGTGTTTCGATCTTTTGCGCTTCTTGTGTTCCCCGGTCCTGCGCTTGGGTCCTTTGATGATGCACGGAGCTTAGGCGCCACGGTCGGAGCAACGGTCCTGCCTTTCAACGATGATCCTGGTGACGCAGCAGTCCTCCCCGTTCAATCCGCGGGGTAGATTCTTCCTGCATCCAATTCCACCGCACTCACTCTCCGCATCCCAGCAGTTGGTGGAGAAGATCACACGCAGCAAGCGACGTTTGGCGAGGGTCATCGGTGTGGAAGAGACAAAAGCTCTACATGAAGACTACAGTAGACTACTGCACACTACTTATCCAGAACGTGAAGCACGCCATCATTGAGAGACGGCTTTCGAGGTGAACATGGCCGTCATTGATCAAGCTATTTGACTTTTGGCAAAATCCTCAAGAGTCAGCAATCCTGACCGGGCTACAGACCGTGCCGTTGTCATTGTGGCCGACGCGTCCTTTCATGCCCGGAGAGACCGATGTGATTTGCACTTGGTTGGGGGAGCTAATGTACTTGTGTTCTTATGCAAGGCTGGGTAGAGATGAGGGCTCGTCTGCACAACAAATGCACACCAGGAGTATGAAACTATGTTGTCGCTCAAGTACAGCAGTAGTCAATAGACCTTTGCGGAATTAGACCACCGGAGTGAAGGAGATTCCGGACTTGGGTAGAATGAATGAAAATCTCAACGATACTACCTGCCGCTTGTACTACGTATCTCGGAAAAAGGGCACGTTAGTTTAAGGCGTAGACAAAGGCGTGTATGAAACAAACCGAAGATAGGTTCATGGAAACAGCTCGAATTGCTATACTGTATTCATTGGGGTACCCGGAACGTATTGCGTGCTGCGGGGCCCCCTCGGACGAAAGGAGGAGTCGCATGTGTTACCATTCTGATCAAGCCTTGTGTCCACAGTCTTAGCGTGCCAGAGAGAGAGAGAGAGAGAGAGTACCGCAGAGACAACTAGCGAGGTGGTCACATAGAAGGCTTCCAGGGTTTGCCAGCCTCAGGACCTTACAGTAAGTGGAGTCTTTTCCCACCCACCCACCCAACTTTCTTTCGAAGCTGGGGGAATGGAGCGGACGGGCGCAAGTATCCTGTAAAACTTGTAGCTGTATTGCGGCGAAGAAAATGGTAGGGTACCATCATGGGAACTTGGTCATCTGAGACTACGGTGTGCGGTAAGATTGGTTCCCTCCACCGCAGGAGAGAGCACCCTCAGTTGCTGTTTGGAGGGAAGAGAGAGACGGTATTTGTTGGGAGAGAGGCAGAGACACTAGAAGGGCCGCAGAAACGTATCTGCGGGAAACGTGCTCTCTGTTAGTTTGGTATCTCTCTCTTTCCTCGGGCTTGAGAAAAACATTAATAAACGCCATTCGAAAGAAAGCAAGAAACTGGCAAGTAGAGAAATACGAACAAGCCTGTAGCGGTGTTTGTCAAGAAGCACAATGACCACTAGACGTCTAGGCGCTGACTAGTAGCCTAGACTAGTGGGCATCATGCTTTTCAAAGTGTTTAGACTAGGCATGATATCATCTTGGTGCGAGTGAACAATGCCGACACTCTGTTCTTCAAGCCGGAGACAGTGAGTGTCGGTTGAAGTTTGGCGGAGGAGTTTACGAGCGTGAACTCCGACCACAGGGTGTTTGCGGCCTACGCTACATATTTATCGGGTGAGACTGTATTGGTGATGTATTAACTTCACAAGAGGTAGACGACCGTCCTTCACAGGGACGAAAGAGAGAGTGCTCAAAGAACGGCTCCCACAGCAAGGAGGGGCCCCGTGAACCATCGCGGTGCCCCCTACCATACGGCAATCTTACCAGTCTGCGTGACACCAAATCTTCCAGCACATGTATCCCACACCAATGTTCGTAGACCCACGAACACCCTCCTCCCTGGTTCTTCACGCAAGTGACTAACCATCAATGGGGCAAGAACGCCCCTGGATACATCAGAAAATACCACCATGGTAATATATGGAGGGGGAACCCGGCGTCCGCGCCAAACCCCTCGAAAACCCCCCACCGCCACAAAACCGTCGCTATCACAGCGGATCACAACGACCGCACTAACTAGAAAGGCCAAGGCGAAGACAAGAACGCGAGGAACTACGTCCCCCCGGACGATGGTCTCCCAACGCCCCCTACTCCTGCCATTGGTACACAGACCGCAACAGTTATGCGCCTTTCCCCGCATGGAAAAAATGACCTCTCCTAAGTGCTCGAAATCGCTACAGCTTCTCCGGCAAATTCATCAACTTGCGCCGGTGGTACTGCAGACTAGCCCTGCAAAGGGCCTTGGTTAGGAGGTCCGCGTGTTGCTCCGTTGTCGGAACGAACTTGACCGAAATATCCCCCGACCTAAACAATCCGCGGATAAAATGAAATCTCACGTCGATGTGTTTCGTGCGACCTGAGCTGAGGGGGTTCTGCACCAACGCTATGGCCCCCTGGTTGTCCTCAAGGACCTTGATGCTGCTACCACTGGTCTCTGGGGCGACAAACGAAAGCACAGCACGCACAAACAACGCCTCCTTGACGCCCTCCCCGGCAGCACTGTATTCGGCTTGCGTCGAAGACAAAAGACACGATGCTCTGCGTCTTGCTGCCATGGCTGACTACGGTACCTCCAACCGTCGTCACCAACCCTGACACCGAACGCCTATCCTCCGTGTCGGCGTAGCTAGCGTCTACGTACACGGCCAGCCTAACCCCGATCCCCGTTGGTAGGTGATGCCGAGGTCCCTCGTCCCTTTCAAGTAGCAGAGGATCTTCTGTATGGCATGCCAGTGCCGCTTCGCCGGGGCGCGGGCGTGGCGTGCTACCGCACGCACGGCGAACGAGACGTCTGGACGCGAGAAAGTCGACACCCACATCATGCTGCCGATGGCCTCCCTCACCGGCCACTCCCCTCCTTCCTCATCCTCTCGCTTCGGCCCTA